CTCCCTGGGTTCTGGCATGTACAGCCTGGTAAATGGTGCCGTTTACTAAGATTGGGAACTCTAATGGAGAAGCAGATTTCTAGAAGAAAGATTATAAATTCAGTTTTTAACATATTAAATTCAAGGTTCATATAGGAGAAGTAAATCGGAAATTATGAGTAGCCTGTTGGGTATTGGGTCTGGCTGAGTAGACTTAACGAGTTGTCGGTATATAGACTGTGGTTGAAGCCATGGGAGTGGATGAAATCACTTACAGTGAGGGTGTGGGTTGAGATGAAAAGGAGGCCTAGAACTTGTCTTTGAGGCATATTAGCACTTAAGGACTAAATAGAGCAGAAAAAATGACAAAAAGAGACTGAGCAAGAGTAACAGAGAGGAAAGAGGGGAAAAGAGATGTGTATTACAGAAGCCAAGAAAAGAAACATTTGAAGAAAGAGGGGAGTTATGAATTGTATGAAATGCTCCCAAGAGGCTGAAAAAGATACCAAAGTGTTGTTAGGTTTGATGACATGGAGATCATTTCTGACCTTGATGGGAGTCTGTTCAGTGTCATGGAGGTGGGAGCCGCAAGATTTAGTGAGGATGTGTGGGAGGTGAAGAACAGAAGCAGCCAGGGTAGGTAATTCTATAGGCAAGTTCCATTTTGAAGGGAGAAGAAGGTGTAGTGTTGAGGGGTATGATGTCTAGGAAGTTTTTTGTTGTTGTTTATTTATTAAACGGTCAGATAGACCAGAACATGCTAAAACACTTTTGGAAAGGCCTCAGGGAAGAGGAAGAGGTCAAACATATGGGAGAGAGAAACAGTCAGTAATGTCAGGTTCCTGAGAAGATGGAAAGGAAGATTTGATTGGTTTATGGTTGAACAAGGGACACAGCTTCCAAAACTTGGAAGGGAAAGCAGGGATGTCTAAATGTAGGTAAGTTCATAGATTTGCTTGCCTTTATGAGAAGGCCTGAGTCTTTCGAATTCTAGCTTTTTATGTCACATTTGTTTATAACAAGGCAATTTTCCCCTTCCCCCAATATCAGCTCCTAGAAAAATTGTATTTTTTTGGTTAGATAAATGATTTGTTAGAACTAATAACGTAAGTACTAATATGCACTTGAATGTATTCTCTTCAGAAGCAAAACCTGTACACTCTCTAAATTTTGCCAGAAGTTTGAAAGATTAAGGCTATGTGAGAATGTCAGGAGGCATGTATTTCACCATACTTTTGAGAAATGCTAATCAGTTCATTAAGTTTAGTTGCTAATAAATAAGAGAAAACATGTCTGCTGTGAAATTGTGTCAGGAAATGTTAATGAGCAACTAGTCGAGACCTTAGTATGTTCTGAATAAAAGTTTAAACTTGTTTTATTTCCCTTTGCTTAGGTTGGCTTTTTTCCCCTGACTTGCTCATATCTTTATGCAGGCCCTCCTCACAGTGGGAAGACTGCTTTAGCTGCAAAAATTGCCGAGGAATCCAACTTCCCGTTCATCAAGATCTGTTCTCCTGATAAAATGATTGGCTTTTCTGAAACAGCCAAATGTCAGGCCATGAAGAAGGTATCAGGATTTTACTTTCATTTTAATTTTCCTATCTCTTAAATGTGTGTGTGCACATGTATATGCCTTTGTACATATATGCATATAAATCCATGGCAACTGTGTTCTTCTCAAGTGGAGCCAAATTATCAGCAGAATTTGGGGGAAACAGTGACTGTTTTAGATTTTTTAACTTTGTAGTGTGTTTTTATTGAGTACCTTTGCCTTCTGAATTGTGATTTTCATTTCCTATGCCTGTATCAATTTGATTAAAAGAGTCCTAGTTAAGAATGTTTTGAGTAGAGTGGAACAAATTCATTTAGGATTTTTTAAAGTTCTTTCATTTTCGTACAAAGTTGAAGGGGTCAATTAAGTTGAGGAAGACAGAGATGTGTCAATGGGAAGATAGTCCTAAGAATCCATACAAAATGATAGTTTTTTATTAGGTAATAATCAGAGTCTGCTTGGTAACTTAATGCAGTTCTCATCCATCTTCCTTTCTCCAAGTGCTACTCATCAGAAGTTCTTCTTAGTTAGTATGGCCACTTTATACCATCAGTGAAGTTAGAATAGGATCCTAGAGCTGAAAAGACCTTAAGACCATCTGGTCCTTCTCTCTTGCATTCAGGCAGGTGCCATGCAACAGTAACAAAAATCAATGGTGAAGACTCTTAATGGCCATTCCATCTTACTTGTTAGATCATGTTTCCATTGTTATTCTAATTTTGCATACTGCCAGACAGTCAAGAAATTATTTTTTGTATCCAGCTGAAGTATTTCTTTCATTTAAATCCTTTTTTTCATGCTTGATCATTTATAGATAGGAACTGACTGTAAGTCCAAGGGCTGTGGGCAAATCAGAATGAGGTGAAAGAATCTTGAAAATTGAACTACTACCTAGTAAAGACAGCTCAGAGCGTTCTTTTAAGTTGCTCTTAGGCATTTGCTCTATAAAGACGTAGTGTAGAATTCTTCGGTGTTTCTTTAGGAAAGAGAATGAAGAGGAAAAATAGATTTAAAAGGGAGATGACTCCCAAAACAATGTAAGCTTGAGAAGCTAGTCTCTTGTTCGTGCAGGTGGCAGAAAATTGCATAGGGTATTTCAGATGGAAGGAGGAAGCAGAACTTGTAGCAGGATTCCAGCCGCACACACTGAGGAGTCCAGAGAAATACATAAAAATCTTTGAACTTGAGTGTCAAAGGGAAATATTGCCAGACACAAAAAGAACTTATAATATCATAATTTATTCTGTCTCTGAGGTGAAACCAGTATCTATCCTTCCCAGGAAAATCCGAATAGAATAACCGGGACCAGTAATTTTCCTAGAGTAGGTAGTGCTGTTTTTGTTTTTTGTTTTCCCTCTGATGGGAACCCTTAACCCACTTCTTCTGGTAAAAATTTAAATAACAGCCCTTGAAATCTGTTGCTGTTGAATGTCCCATTTATTTATTGAATAGCTAAGTCTATTTGCATTTTCCTAAATCATCTATTCCCGTGCTTTTTCAAAAGTAGTAGTTGTCTTTGCAGATGGCAAATTACTCCATTGCTTTCCACCAGCTGCCAGCTTCTACCTCAGATGTACTCTGAGATGTGGGGTGGATGGTCCTAGTTTTTCTATAAAGTTTTTAAAAAGTACTTTAGGCTTCTGCAGATCAAAGCTGCTTTGTAAGTGTGAGATATTATCATTTTTATTATTTTAATCTCTTGCAAATTGACTTGAGGGGGGAAGGTAATATGTGCTGATTTTAGAGGCTTAAATGGTTAAATTAATGGCTTAATAACTTATGATTTAATCTTTAAATTGTTGAAGCCTTTCAAGGTAGAGCTTTAGATGAGTAGAAGGCTAGGGAGTATAAAAATAAGTGTCCATACAAGCTTATTCAAAATTGTTTTAATTCATGATTCACTGTCTGGATCATCCAAGCACTATTAAAGTTACAAACATTATTTCTGCTTCAGCAGTATAATAACTTTCTAATAGAATTTTTGGTTTTACTTGGGGGAAAAATATTATTCTTTGTAATTAAAAGTTCAGAAATGAGAAAAGAATGAAGCATAGGTGTCTTAGATATATCTTAGAAATATTATAAAATCTTCCCCTGCAAATAGTTTTCACATTGTTACCTAATGATAGGTTGACAAAAGCCTGAGGGCTCAGTCTTCCGGGTTGGTTTTGCAAATGAAATATAAATACATTCTTTAGTATAAGTTCTAGTCTATCTCCCACCACCGTTCATACCCCTCCATTTTTGTGTGAGGATGGGAAGAAGATGTTTTCATTGTCTTTCAGAGCACACATAATTTAAAATTTTTATAATTCTGTAGAAAACCTTTCTTTTCTTGTAAGTGCAAAACATGAGGTAGCTTTTCCTAATTACAGAAATAATTTAGAAAATATAGGAAAGAACATAGAAGAAAATAAAAATAAATTCATATTTATACTTGTCCTTCAATTATCTTTTCTACTCAGACACACATGCCCACATGAACACATACACCCCTCCTTTATATATTGGGGATTACATTGAACATACTGGTGTAAACTTGCTTTTTTCACTTAAAATACTACTAACTTTTTTCAATGTAACTAAAGTTAATCTGAATATTATTTTAATTTAATAGCTGTATAATATCTGAACACAGTCCCTTTTTGTTGGACAATTAGGTTGTTTCCAGGTTTTTTTTTTTTTCACAATTATAAATAATATTGTATATCAAAGAGTTATCTGTACTCTCAAGTTCCTTGCAGCAGTATTCACAGTAGTGGAATGGAATCAACCTGAATGGCCTTCAGTGGATGAATGGATAAAGAAAATGTGGCACAAGGCCGGGTGCAGTGACTCACGTCCTAGCATTTTGGGAGGCCGAGACTGGTGGATCATGAGGTCTGGAGATTGAGACCATCCTAGCCAACATGGTGAAACCCTGTCCCTACTAAAAATACAAAAATTAGCTAGGCATGGTGGTACACACCTGTAGTCCCAGCTACTCAGGAGGCTGAGGCAGGAGAATCGCTTGAACCCAGCGGGTAGAGGTTGCAGTGAGCAGAGATCACACCACTGCACTCCAGCCTGGCAACAGAGTGAAACTCTGTCTTAAAAAAAAGAAGAAAATGCGGCACATATACACTGTGGAATATAACACAGCCATTTAAGAAGAATGAAATCCTTGTCATTTGCAACAACATGGATAAAGGAGCTGGAAGACAATATGTTAAGTGAAAGAAGCCAGGCACAGAAAGTCAAATATCACGTGTGCTTATTCACATATGGGAACTAAACAATTGAACTCAGGGAGATAGAGAGCTATCAGAGGCTGGGAAGGGTAGTGGGAATGGGGAAATAAGGAGGGGATGGTCAATGGTTACAAATACCGTTAAATAGGAGTGATGGGATCTAGTGTTCAACAGCACAATAAGTTAACCATATTTGAAAATTATGTGTAGTTCGGGGAGTGGGCGAGGTGGCAGTGGTAATGGCAGGGAAAGAGTTGGAGCAGTGCCAGCAGCAGGCGAATGAGGTGACAAAAATCATGCTTAAAAACTTTGACAAGGTCCTGGAGCAGCATTCAGACCAACTCCTGGATGTGGGCTCAGCCTTCGGCAAGACAACAGAGACCCTGGCCCAGCATTGCCAGATCTACCTGGGGCTGGTGGTGGGTGGTGGCCTGCTCATCATCCAGATTTTGCGGCTGGCTGTCTTTATCTCTCAGAGTAGTGACAGCAGTAGTGCCCCACAGACCCAGGATGCAGGCACTGCCTCAGGTTCTGGGGCCTGACCCAGCTGGTCCTGAGGAAGAAGCCAAATGGCTGCACTGGCCAGTTCTGGTCTCCAGGGAGCCTTGGTGTTTGCTCTCCCAGACCCACCCCAATGAGGGCCAAAGGGCAGCCCCAGTGCGTGTACCCCTGCATTTCCTGTCACAACACAGACTGACCCTCTAGGGCAGCCTGCAGTAGTAGTCATACCAGGCCAGCCGCCAGTGGAGCTCAGTAAAAGCTGCTGTTTGATTTAAAAAAAAAAAAAAATTATGTATAGTTCAAAATAAGCAGAAGAGTGGAAATTGAATATTCCTAACAAAAAGAAATGATACATGCTTAATGAGTTTCACAACTACCCTTATTTGACCATTACGTGCTTTATACTTGTATCAAAATACTCCATAAATATGTATAACTGTTATGTAGCCATAATAATTAAAAATGTATGTAAAAACAATATTCTATAGGACCATAGAACTAGGGAAATTACCGTCGCCATTTTCTCATTAGATTTTTCTTCTGTAGAATAGTATAACATGACCAAAAATTTGGGCTCGCTCAGCTCCCCACACTGACTGACCGAATGACCTTGGATACGTCATTTAACCTATAAGCCACTGTTTTCTCACCTATCAAATGAAGATAATGTTAATAGCTGCAGTATAGGGTTATTATGAGAATTAGATGGTAATTTCTGTAAAGTGTCACACAGTACCTGGGATATGATATGAACTCAGTAAAGTGTAGTGGTTATTTTTACTTCTTCTTATACATACAATTTTTATGATTTCTTTATGACAAATTCTCAGAAGTGGGAGTGCTAAGGTAAAAACATTAGTATTTTAAAGATTTTTTATGCATAGTGCTATCAAAACTCTTATGTAAAAAATACTAATGGTTTTATAAAGCCTACCCCTGCAGAAAGCTGTACTAATTTGTACTTGGAGCCTCATCATACCACAAGAGTATGAGTTTCTTGGGATTCTCACCCGTACTTGATATTATTAAAATAATTTTTGTCAGTTTGATAGGGAGAAGGTTGGCATTTAATTATTTCTTTAGCTACATTTCAGTGACTAAATGCTCATATTTAAAGATGTTTCAAAATGTTTTGCAATGACAATAGTCTATGAAACTCAGAAATATGTAACACATTAGTTTTGTCAAAGATATGTGGTCTGAATTAGTAGTTCACAGAGCATCTTTACATGCCATTCTGTTACTTAAACCAACAGGTAAGAGTTAGTAGAGAGAGCTGATAAGCTTGCTTTAATGAGTACATAAGATTTTATTATAATTATACTATTGCCTCTTTTTCACAAGTGGATGGTGTTAAAATACGTGAAAGTAGTTTATTCTCAAATAATTTAAAATTCACCTTGTACTTCTCTTAATTTGCTTATTACTGAATCCTTTTTCCATGGATAAACTCCTTAGCACTGCTGAAGTATGTATGAGGTATTGTCCTCACGTTCTAGGGGGTATACCATATGTTCCATTAAGATATTTGAAGCATTCACAGATCTTCCCCTTCTTTCCTATTTTATGTTTGCTTCCCAAACTTCATTCTGTTTTAAAATTTTAATTCCTTTATCCATTTTTGCATCAATACTTTTTTAAAAAAAAAATCTATTTTACTAGTTCTATTAGTGGCATTAAGTGAACAAAAGAACAAAGCAGTAGAATTTGATTTTAACTAATTACCTAATCTTGATGCTGAGTACACAATCAGTAGAGATGAAATAGAACAATCAGATAGAACTAAATTGTTTGAACAAAATTAAGTAAAACTACCAGTGATTTATAAAACTATGCCCATTAATAACATGATATAGTTTTATTTTCAAAGGATTGAAAATTAATGGAAGAAATTTTCCTTTCCGCTAGCTTTGCAAGAAAGAAATAATCTTCTTTGAATATCCTCCTGTAAATCCCACTGCAAATTGTAGTCTGCACAGAACAGAATCATGGTGCCTAATCCTCCTCTTTTCATGGTTTAGTCTATACAAAGAGCAGAGCTGGAAATTGGATCTTTTGACAGCAGTTACTAAGCAACAGAATTTGGATGTTTTTGGTTAACATCCTAATATATCACGTAGCTGATTTGTTGAAGTTTGTGCATGTATTAGCTGAAAGAAGTGGGCACTGCGGAAGTGACTACAGGTCCCTGTATGGCTGGGGGGTGGGCATTTGTTGTTGTTTTCTTCAATACACTGTGTCTTTTGGCACTTGTATCTATTTGGCATACAAAGGAGGCTGGTGCAGAACTTTCAGACCTTGTGACTTTTTATATTATTAAGAATATCCTTCTCTGTGGCTCATGATATGGGAAAATGTAAGATTTTTTCCTGAAAAGCAGGGAGAACAAATAAAGGATTTTAAGGTCATTCCAGGAAGCTTTAGAGCTTTGCCAAAAGTTTAGGTCCACTTCCTGAGGCAATTTCATTAGAAGACAGCTAATGTTTACTTGGTCTACTCCCAAGTTATTTTTAGAAACTAGAGATTATTACTGATAGCACCCATTTGAATTTGCTCATTTACGTTTTTATATGCTACCAAATATGATTAGAGTATGCTTTTAATTAATCGCTGACAGATTTACTGCATTAGGAATTTTTTAAGCCATCAGATTCCTACAGTCATCAGATTTCTACTAACTAGGTACTTCACACCAAGCACTTCAGAACTGAGATGAACTCTTTCAGCCCCGAGAAGAACCAGGGCATTTGGCTTTGCTTACCTAAGAGCACAAGAAGGTCACAAAGGATGGAGGGCTGAGTCTCCTGAGAGCACACTTGCTGTGGCTTGTGATCCTGAAAGGCTGGGATTAATGGCCCTAATGCTGGCATACTCCCATTTGCACTTGTGCAGACTCCAGGGCCTGTAACTGCTTCCCCTCCTTCACACACAGTTGGCTCCCTACTTGTCTGAAGATCCCAGAAATGGGCTCAGGGTCTTAAGAGCTTGCTGTGTTCTTGAACACCATATTCAGACCTGCCCCTAATCCCTGTGTGGTAGAGCGCCACGTCTCCTGTCCCTCAGTGCTCACAATGCATGTGGCACACTCTTGCCTTGAGCCCAGGCTCCCTACACTCTGGGTTGTCTCTCATACCCCTCCAGCCTATGTCATACCTCCACCTTTGCATGCAAAAGCGGTTACAGCTTAACATGACCATCTCATTATGTGCACAGGTGGACATAGGGGCTTCTGTGTTTTCCAGAGCTGCTCTTCTTCCTTTAGCATAGACCTCCCATTATTTCATGAGACCGAGACTGACTGATGCCTGACTGACTGATGCCTCTTTCCCACGTTGTTTGCTTCTTCAGTTCTTCCTTGTTTTTCTTTTCTTTAACCTTCTCTTTCAGACTTCCCACTTAACTCTAAGACCCTATATATACGTTGATAGTTTTACCTGTTCTACAGGAAACTTACTAATGAAATTAGGCTGACTATACATTCTTAAGACTGATTTTTGGGGGGAATCTGTAAGATACAGTTTTTGCCTTCTTACCTGCAGCCTCAACCCTCCTGGCATCTTCTGTGTTGGGGCATCTTTGGATCTAAAGCAGGCACTATGTTACCTGCTGTGTGCTGTAACTCACGGTGAGTCTGGCACTTCCGTTGTCCTAGTCTGACTAGGGCAGTTGACGATTTTACTTTTCGTGTGTCTCTCTTTCCAGTACCTCTCCTCCTTTTGGGGTTTATCGACCTAAAGTTGTGGGGAAGCTTCCCAGCTCAGTATGTAAACATCTCACTTGGATTTTACTGTAGCAGCTAACCTCATGTACTTGCCAGCCAACTCTGAGTAGCTCCTTAGTGAGAATGTTCCTGGGGTCTGGGCCAGAAAGCCAAGAGAGAAAGAGACTAAGAGACTGAGAAGACTAGGCAGAAATCATAGATCCTGGGGAATAGTTATGAGCACAGGTTGCAATAGTGACTAGATAAGGAAGAAAATGTATGTGTGAGAAGAGAAAGGGGTGTGTGTGTGTGTGTGTGTGTGTGTGTGTGTGTGTGTGTGTTTAAATTAGAGCAGAGTAGCTACCCGGAGGCGTTTCAGTTGACTGGTTACCTGAAACTAGTCAAGTTACGACTGGAATTGCACAGCCTTCATCATGGTGAGTGTGTTATTAGAGCTTGCCGTGAGTGCGCCTCTCCCTCTGATAGTAATTAGTACAGAGATGGACTACAAAAAGAAAAATAAAAACAAATGTCACTATTTGATATGAAGTGACTGCTGTGGGTATTTTTCCTTTCAAATGTTATGTGTAGGCCATGCAGTCAACTGTGAAGTGATTTGCAATGCTTTGTGAATTACAATGTCTGAGGTAAGTTAGTGAGACTACGTACTACGTAGCAAGTCATCATCAGTTTAGACTTAAGCAATGTCCTGAGTAAGATCCTTGGAGCCATATAAGCTGTACATTGTTTTGAGAAGGAAAAGCATAGAACTATTGCAACCAGCTGGGCTGTGGTGTCCCAGGTCTCTCTGGCTCTAATCCATGATCTCACAGTCTGATGGTCAGTTATATGCTTGCATCAGAGCTTTTAGTAGAATTCTGAAAAATGTTTTAGAAAGCAAAGCATTATTTTCAATGATTCCTTGAAATTAGCTGAGTTTATAAGATACCACATTGGCTGCTCTGTTGGCTTCGTCTTAAAGCCGCCAAGAACCACTGTAGAACTGCTTCTGAGCTTTTCAGTTGTCTTGAATGTACCAACTCAAAGCCAAAAGGAGCCGTCACTATGTATCAAGAGACAGAAATAAACATGCTATTCTCTTTTTCTCTTTTTCTTTGTGTGGGGAGGAGGAGATAAAAGGCCCTTCTCTTTCTGGTCTTTAAATGTACTCACGATCCATTTTCAAACCAGCTTCTTCTCTGTTTTTTGTTTCAGTTGCCCAATCAGGAAGGAGCCTTGACTCCAGTTTTCTCTTTCATCACCACACCCATTCATTCACCAAGTACTTTCAGTTTCTCCTCCTAAATGTCTTAGATTCTATCCACTTCTTAGCATACTCAT